TTTGAAGTAAGCAGGTATTTCACTTTCTGAAAGTGAAATACTAAAAGTAACTTAATTTTCATCTTCATATGAAGTCTTGTAATAGTCATTACGCTTGTCAGGTTGGTTAGAAGACGCTGTATAGAAGACGTGGTTCAGGTTTATCAGAGCTGCTACTCAGCCTGGTTTTTTTTAATAAAATGGACACACACTAGGATTTTCTCCTGTGTCGTGAACAAACATATAAGTTCACATACATATGACACCCACACTCGGAACAACAATCTGTGGATCGCACAAAGAGTTGTTCTGTACGGGAATTGAACCCCCGACACGTTGTGCGGCAGACAGTTGCCCAGTCACCAAGCCAACCGTGCAGTCAAAAGGTTAAAGGTTAGTCGCTTAATTAATCCGTCGGTTACCTAAAGGTGGATCTTCGTGTTTGTGTCTTATATACCGGCATTCAAGCGGTTAATCAGTTCTAAGACACCAGTGGGACGAGTAAAGGCAAATGTATTTAACACATAGTATTACCAGCACCTGTTCTAAGGGACATCAACTGCCTATAAATGCCCACTGCTGAGCAAAGCCTCTTCTCACACAGAGAAGGTTAGAGCATTAATCACCACGCTTGCTCAATGCGGGTTGGTGATTACAGACTTATGATTAGAAATTATAAGCCCAGGTTTCCTTACGATGTTTTCCTTCACCGTTTGTCAGTGGTGTCTAAATAATCTTAGAAAGTACATATAATTTGGAAAAAGTCACATTGGTACTTGCTGTTGGTAGGTTTCGAACCCGCACCCTCATGCATGAGAAGCAGGCGTCTTAAACCTCCGGACCACCATGTTCTAAAGGATCGTAAACAAAACTGCGATGCGACGTCGCATCGCAAAAATGTGCGAGCTCTCTCTACGCATCGCAAGAACTTGCGAATTGATACGTATCACGCATTAAAATCTTATCTTCCCAAAATCTTTGTTTCTATTTCCTGTATCTCCTAAGCAATAACAGAAGTGCACACTTCGTTTTACGGTCCATGTCACGACCTAGTTTTCAATTTAAAATACGTTTAGTACGGTTGACGGTCGTCGAAGGAATGGTCACCCTGGGAGGCGCCTTGTCGCACGAAATCTCATCGAAGTAATTCGCATCGTAATTTTTTGCGTTGCGAATTTGCATCGCATCGCATTGCAGTTTTGTGAACGAGCCCTAAATTAAAATAAAATCAAAACTAGAACAAAATGTCCTCAGTTTTAATGTGTTGACAGACACGACATGTCACTGACATACAAGCAGTAGCCTACTTATTCCACTTGCGGCACCGAGTTCGCATACGACGTGTATATTATTAGATATATATTAATTAAGCATTCACTATACTCAAGGTTGTGGGAATGCAGCGGAATAGGCACTGCTTGTACTAGTAGCTACACTAAGGCGACATTTTGTCGAAGTTATCTTTAATGCTTGCAATTGCTTTTTATTGTAATGAATGATAGTTCTAAGGCAGTAAATGTTCTATATGGAGCCGCGAAGGGCCTAACGGGTTGCGAGGGCTCTGACTCGGAGTGCAACAGTAGGAACTCCTGCACTTCGAATCGGAGTCTGATACTTCTTCTGCGCCTTACCAGGGTGGGAGAAGTCATGGATGGTTTTCCACCCTCAAAGATAAAAGTGTAGTAAATATCATTAAAATAGATTATTTTTAGGAAAAATCACAGTAATACTTTACCCGACCCTTGCGGCGTTCTAAAGTGCCTTTCTGGTCTAATTGAAATAAATGATTTTGACTTTGACTTTGACCCGGGAATCGAACCCGTGACCCCTTGCCCGGCAGTCGCACTTGCGAGCACTCGGCCAACGAGGCAGTCTGATGATACCTATGACTTCCAAACGTAGCCATACTATTCATCGACCCAAAATTTAAGCTACACTTTAGCATAGACATTGCTCGTCATATCTAGCAGTGTTAACTAGCTTAACAAGTTAACACCCACAGCACATTGTTGTACAAACAATAGCGAGCTTCTGTCGGCTCCGACAAGATTACAAGATTGTGCGCTGTTAGGCAATGCTAGCATCCTACGCGTTGCATTGTCGGCAAGATTAGCTAAATGACTCGAAGATTCATTACTTATTTGCTAATTGTTTTATTGCTTTGTAGATTGGAAGATTGTTCTGTCTACTTCTTGAGTCCAGTTTACATATATAACATCACGTCTTTTATCCCCGAAGTTGTAGGCAGAGGTGCATATTATGCCACTGTACAATGTAACACCTACTTTTCACTATTTTTGTTATGAGTCCCATGTAATAGGGGGTGAGCCTATTGCCATATAAGCCTATTGCCTTACCGGGCATAATTCCAGACTCCGTGCTACTACTGAGAATTTTTATAGAAGCCCAGTAATGCTTTGCCCGACCCGAAGCCTTTGCCCGGCAGTCGCACTTGCGACCACTCGGCCAACGAGACAGTAATACAGTATTTATTAAATAGATATTCCTAGTATTAGATTTACTTAAAATATTTACGAACAAAACTGATTACATAGGTGTGTGCTAGACACTAGACAGGCGTCGTCTGCAAAGTTTGCAGCCAAAGAATTCCTAACTATTTAGACTGTGACGTGTCTAACATATTGTGTATGTTCTAAACTACAGGTAGCACATCAAAATATACTTTAGGTATCATATATATTGGATTTTCAGTTTAATTAGTTTTGTATTAAAGTCGAAAGTTGGTTGAAAAGATAATTTTGTATGTGCATTAATTTATGAGTGTTTAATCTGTCACCTGAGTTTGGTATCTGTAAGTACTTTTTGTAAGAGGCAAACGAGCACATGGTTCACTTGATGATAATGGTCAGCACCGCCCATGGACACCCGCAACAATAGAGGAGTCACAGGTACGTTGCCGTTGTTTCAATAAACACCTGTATTGAAAGGATCTGTTCGATATTTTGTAAGGGTAAAATAGTGTTTTGTTATTTCGCTAAATTCGACGTATTGATGCCTCAACACAAGTGACTAGCCACATTGCTGTTGTTGCTGGTCCAAGTACCGTAAACGTGTCTAAATAGGAATACCTACGTCCTAAACTTATGCCTAGTAGCGTAGCCAGAAAATTACTATTTGTTATCGATTAAAACCATTAGCTTTATAATTTCTCCTGTAATTATTTTATTGTTCACTTGTCAGTGTACAGTTTTCTCCAAAATAACTAAACCTATAATGACGAAATTCTCATATTCAAGAACAGGTAAACAATAATGCCAATCGTGATCTGGCTAAATGTTAAACTTTTTAGTTCTAGATAATTAAACATAGTTAAAGTTAACAAACGAGTTATATAACTACTGAATGTTAAAGTTTAAGTTTTAACAAGAGTTATTAGTTAAATGAGTGTCAGTTAAAAGTTATGTTTATTATTATGATTAATGTTTTCGGCCATGTTTTAAAGTTTATATCATCCGTTAAAGTGTAATGATGGTTGATTATAGTTGCCTTGTAGGTCAAAAATTCATTCAGTGTTTAATTTCGTAATGTAGGTAATGACGATCATCATCACTGCTGAGCAAAGTCTCTTCTCACACTGGGACGGTTTGAGCATTAATCACCACGCTTGCTCAATGCGGGTTGGTGATTTCAAACTTATAATTAGAAATTATAAGCCTAGGTTTCCTCACGATGTTTTCTTTCACCGTTTGTCAGTGTATCTGAATAATCTTAGAAAGTATATATAACTTGTAAGAAGTCACATTGGTACTTGCCGTTCGTAGGTTTCGAACGTAGGTTTGAGGGTGCCTCATGCATGAAAGTGGGCGTCTTAACTCGTCGAGTACCGGTTTTGTAGACACAATTATAGAACAATAGGTTGCGGTCACCGGTGACCGCTTGGTGTTTGACAGTTTAAACCTCCGGGCCACCACGACTACATGATGATTATGGTTCAAACTTATTGTTTTGGTTAACTGGTTGTGGGGCACTAAGAAAATTAATAGTTTTCAGATTGAATTACTGACATTGGAAAGGTATCTATAGCGTATTCAGCAGTAAGTGTAATTCTTAAATGTTGACATAATATTATGAATAACAATATACAACTTAAAATTAAAACAGCGACTAAAAAAAAGTTAAAAGATAAATCGAAATCCCGTCAGTCGTCTAAGAATTCGTCCGCATCTGTCACTGGGGAACGTGCCCAGAAGACTGGCAGCATTGCCATGTTGAATGGCAATGCTTATTTTCTGTCCGAAGATGTAGCCAGCTCTCTGGTCACGAGTAGAGTCGATTAGCCATAAATTATTCTTAAAATGCTCGTCTATAATGCAAACATCAAGTACTTCATTATAAGTGATGACATGTAGATCAAATTGCAGTTTTCAGTGCTTGAATAGTTCTTTCGTTAATAAATCAAACTTAAAGATCATGAAAATCACTCCGGAATTCTCGAACAACAAATTCCGAAATCAACTTCAACTTTGTTTAAACACACAATAAGGATAAGATTTAAACAAAAACAATGAATGTTCTTATCAAACATAACAATCCAACTAAATACCAAATAATTTGCATATTTTTGTATAAAATGAAAACTGAATTAGTTTTCCCTGCACAAGTTAAAGTAAACTATAATTTCTGAACCAAACTGTCAGTTAAAATGTAAAGTAATTAAGTTAAAAGAGATTTTGTTTAACTTTGGGAACGTTTCGATCAAAACTTTTTGGGAACGATCCATTCCTTTGAATTGGTTTTTGTTAAAATCGAGAACAATACGAAAGTAATTAAGAGAGTGTGTTTTCTTAAGTATTTATATTTTCCTGGTTTTGCCTGCATGAAACCTGTTTTTTACGTTGAGAGATAATAGAGATGCCGTTACAGCTGACAGATATTTCGGGGCTGAATTTAATAATGTCAAACTCCAGATATTAAGTATTCCAGATTCTGTATCATTATGAAGTGGCGCCTTGTTGGCGGTTGATCAATTGAAAATAGTTTTAAAGGAAAAAATAACTTACCAACGAGTCCCGTCCAATGATGCCTGGATAACATTTTGATAGTTATATCTCCAACGAACACTGTAACAAAACATACAATATAGATTAGAAACGAAAACATGAGACAAATGAAATCATTAATCCTGTTTATCTGGGTTTATGATATCGATATATGTAGGTATATGTATTCTGTCATTTTATAAACTATATATTGGGTACTCTTAAGTTTTCAGCTTATTGCACCGGCCACGCACCACTGCATCATCTAAAGGTTGGCTAACAAGAATGCCTATGGCGTTAAGCAGGCCTATGGACTCTTGTTGCATAATAATGATAATTGTGTCTCTATTGTGTCTTATAAACTGCCTCGTTGGCCAAGAGGTCGTAAGACCGACTGCCGGCCAAGGGGTCTCGGGTTCGATTCCCGGGTCGGGCAAAGTACTACTGGGTTTTTAAAAATTCTCAGTGGTAGCACGGAGTCTGGAATTGTGCCCGGTATATGGCAATAGGCTCACCCCTATTACATGGGACTCATAACATAAATGAGTGATCAAAAGTGAGTGTTACATTGTACCTCTACAGTGGCATTAAGTGCCGTAATGTGCACCTCTATATGTTATGTCTTATATGCCGTCAGTCAAGAAGATACACGTTGTTTTTTTTATAATTTCTGAAGCAATAATCTAACACTAATTAATAGTTACTTAAAAGTTTAAGGCAAACAAGACAATTCAGTAGATAACAATATAATTATTATTGTTTAACTTTAGACTTAAATTAAAAATCTAGACTTTTCACAACTAATTACACAAATACGATGCTGTCACCATTTTTACTTTTATTCTCACAGAATGATTGAAAACAATAATTTTAGTATTGAACCACGCAACACAATAGTATAGGGAAGTAAATTAATTTAGGTAATAAAGTGAAAGAGCTTTTGTTGAACTAATTTAATGGTTTCGTGGCGAAATAAAGCCGTTTGTTGCGAGAACAGAAATTATTGTTAAAATTGTGCATTTTTGAAACTAAACAGTACTTTTAATTTCTTACTAGCTTTCTACATAACATTAACAATACATAACATCACGCCTTTTATCCCCAAAGGGGTAGGCAGATGTGTACATTAATTATGCCACTGTATGTAACTCCCACTTTTCACTATTTATGTTATGAGTCCCATGTAAAAGGGGGTGAGCCTATTGCCATATATCGGTCACAATTCCAGGCTCCGTGCTAATACTGTGAATTTTTTTAAAGACCCAGTATTAGGTACTTTGCCCGACCCGGGAATCGAACCCGAGACCCCTTGCCCGGCAGTCGCACTTGTGACCACTCGGCCAATGAAGCTTTCTACCAGCGACTTAATAGGTGATTCCCATTTTTAACGTTCCCGTGGGAATTTAGGAAAATTGTCTCTTAATGCTATCCTATGCTTCCCAAGATACATACGTGCCAAACTTCAGCTCTCTACGACCCCGTGTTTGGGCTTAAATTATTTGTAGATATTGAGAAGATCTTTACATCTAGATTGGATGTAATTGTCATTGGGGGACTGATGATGAAGTAGTATGATAGTTAAAGGAACTCCTCAACGGTTAACGGGTTAACACGGTAGCTACCTACCTGGTGTTTGGGCTTGATTAATTTGTAGTGATGAGAACTTTGCACTAACTATAAATCGGTCAAGCCGTTTAGGAGGAATTCAATGACATACACATGTACAGCATAATTATATATATAAAGATTAACAAGATAAAGATCTAAATTTGAGATTACGTGGGAGTTCGAACCCAAGGCTATCGAAAGCATACACAAGACTATCAACTTTGTTCATTTTCCTAATCACTAGGGTAAAGCTCCAATAACGGATATATTATTATTTATTTTCATTTAGCACTATCTGGCTCAAACCTTCACAATCCGTAGATTATCATGGATTGTATGGGTTCGAGTCCTTGAACATAAGTACCACAGCGGACTGCACAAGAATCATAACAAAAAAAATGTAACTACATAACTATGTTTAGCTTAACACTTCCACAACATCAAAGCTTCAACAACAACTAAACAACAAAACAGTCCGCTATAACTATTTAGTTAGTCAACTAAACACACAAGTATTTAGTCAACTAAAGCCTGTAAAACCGCGGGAGAACTTCTCAAGTTCACATGGAAGTAAGGTTATATTATTTGAAGTTACACGTGCTCTCGTATAAGTGCAAATGTTATGAAGAAACCACTGCAATGAGCTTTTACAGACCTCGTTAGTTAGTTAACTTGCACTAATTGTACTCGTAAGTACTGTACACTGGTTTAGTTTGCTAGATGTGTCATGGTTTTTGAGTTTGAGCGTACTTCTAGTATTATTGTATTGATTTGCGTATCGTATATTTTGTAAATTGTATGTGTGATGTCGGTCAATTGGGGGTACTTTGATAACATTAATTATTGTATGTGTACGGCAGCCAGTCTGCGAATATACGCCTTGTAGCTAAGTCGTTGTTTGATTACGATTCCGATATTTCTCAGTGGCGACGATCAATATCGAATCACACGCGAAAAATAGTGTTAGCTTGCTAAAATGTCGATCGGAAAGATTGCGGAATTCAAAGTGCATAATGACGATTGGAGATTATACGTGGAACGCTTAGAACAATATTTCTTAGTGAACAAAATACCGGATAACTTACAAGTACCGACATTGATAACGGTGATGGGAGCTGAATCCTACGAACTTTTAGTTAATTTGTGTACGCCGGAGAAGCCTAAAAGCAAAACATTCACGCAGATCACGGAAATTATGGAAAAACACCTACAACCCAAACCTAGTGAATTGGCCGAACGTTATAAATTTCGACACAGAAAACAAAAAGAGGGTGAATCTATATCGGAATACACCGCGGTTTTGAAAAAAATGTCTAAGACCTGCGAATTCGGTTCCTCACTCGAAGAAAGTTTAAGAGATCAGTTAGTTTGTGGCATAACTAATGAAAATATACGACAGCGGTTATTTGCCGAAAGTAAGCTGGACTTCGGCAAGGCGTATAAGTTAGCAGTTAGTATGGAGGCGGCAGAGAAAGACGCGGCAGAGGTGGTTGGACATGGAGGGTCGGCCAGCGAGACGGCGGCGGCAGCATCAGTGACGTGTCAAGCGATGTTGACAACGGGGGCATCACGGCGGAGTGGCGCAGCGCCGGCTACACGCGGTGCGCGTGACGTCAGCGGAGTGGCGCGGGAGGCCGCTGCGCAGACTGCGAGGCGGCGAGCGCCGCGCGCATCGGCAGCGCCCGCGCCCGCTCGGCTGGGTGAGCGTGCGCAGCAGCAGTGTCACGTGTGCGGTGCGAGTCACGACGCAGCCACGTGCAAGTTTGTGCGTTACGTGTGTAGGGTGTGTAATCGACCAGGACATCTGCGACGCGTGTGCCCGAATTTAACAGGACACTTCAACGTAGACATTGATCCAAGTAAGGATGATCATGGAAGTGAAAGTACGGAGAGTGACGAGGTAATTTTTATTGATGTTTGTAAATTATCTGCTATAGAATGTAAACCCATGTATCTAGAATTAAACGTTAGCGGTAAAAACATTAAAATGGAATGTGACACCGGTAGTGCTATCTCATGCATAAGCCATGAATGTTACATGAGATTATTTAATGATTTATGTCTTAAACCCTGCCAGCTAACACTTAGGTATTATACGGGGGAGTCAGTCAAACCACTAGGAGTTATAACGCCAACAGTAAGGTACAAAGATACATGCAAGACGTTGGAATTATTTGTTGTGGAGAATGGGAAAACCATTCTTTTAGGACGGCAATGGATGGCCGAATTAAAAATAAAATTACCTATTGTAAATTACGAGTGTAATAATGTGACTATGTTCAGAGATGACGTTTTCGACCTGTCTGCTTTCAGTTCCAAATATTGTGAGGTGTTCGCGGACGGTCTGGGCCGGTTCACCGGTGGCAAGGTGAGCGTTCACGTGCGGCCGGGCGCGCGGCCCGTGTTCATGCGCGCGCGCCCTTTGGCATACGCGCTGCGTGAACCGGTGGAGCGCGCGCTGACCCAGCTGCAGCTCGACGGCATTCTCTCGCCGGTGGAGCGCTCGGACTGGGCGACTCCGATCGTACCGGTCGTCAAGAAGGACGGTAACATTAGGATTTGTGCTGATTACAAATTAACTATCAATAAAGTCATAGAAGTTGACCGATATCCGCTGCCTAGGGTAGAGGAGCTGCTGCTTCAGTTGAGGGGTGGTGAACATTTTAGTAAAATTGATTTATCACAGGCCTACGCACAATTTGAACTAGATGACACTAAGAAATATACCGTGATAAATACCCATAAGGGTTTATTTATGTATAACAGGCTAGTGTATGGCCTATCGTCGAGTCCGGGTATTTTTCAAAGACGATTAGAGCAGCTGTTTAAAGATATACCTCAAGTAGGTGTTTTCTTGGATGACATCATAATCACAGGGGCTTCTAAGGAAGCTCACTTGCGAAATTTATGCCAGGTGTTTGATCGATTAAAAAAGTACGGCTTGAGGGTAAAGAAAGAAAAGTGTGTATTCTTTGCGGAGTCAGTTAGTTATTTAGGGCACACCATTAGTAAAAATGGTGTTCACACGTGTCCCGATAAGGTTAAAGCCATAATCAAAACACCCGCGCCTACTAATGTCAGCGAGCTCAGAGCATTCATTGGAATGGTTATGTACTACGGCAAGTTCGTGAAGAATGTTAGTACAGTTCTAGCACCGCTATATAACTTGCTTAGAGTGGGTGTTCAGTTCAGTTGGAGTAAAGAGTGTCAAGATGCGTTTACCAAGGTTAAAAATTTATTAGCAAGTAGTGACGTTTTAATGCACTATACACCGGAGTTGCCTGTAATTTTGACGACTGATGCAAGCAGCGTGGGTATAGGCGCGGTGATATCGCACGCGAGCGCGCACGGCGAGCGGCCGGTGGCGTACGCGTCGCGCTCGCTGACGCAAGCCGAGCGCGGTTACTCACAAATAGACAGAGAGGCGCTCGCTATTGTTTTTGGGATTAGGAAATTTCATCAGTACTTGTATGGGCGCAAGTTTATATTGCGAACGGATCATAAGCCTTTAACTTACATTTTTGGAAATAAAGCAGGGATCCCGGTAATGGCCGCATCCAGACTACAACGCTGGGCGGTGTTATTGGCAGGTTACTCCTATGACATTGAGTATGTGTCATCAAGTAAGAACTGTGCGGATGCGTTGTCACGATTGCCATGTACAGAAGTTAATAATTTAGGAGTACGGAACGATAACACTTATGTTAATTTTGTAGAAGATTTTTTACCTATTACCAGCAAAGATGTTAAAGAAGCTACAGCTCGTGATAAGGTCCTAAGTAGAATTTTAACGTATACCCAATCTGGTTGGCCTACAACTTGTTCAGATGAATTGATTCAACCCTATTTTAGAAGACGTAATGAACTATACACGGAATGCGGGTGCTTAATGTGGGGTTACCGTATGGTCGTACCACTTTCATTACAATATAAAGTTTTAAAACAACTTCACAGTAGTCACATGGGGATAGTGAAGACAAAGAGTCTAGCTCGTAGCTACGTGTGGTGGCCTAACATAGATGCTGCAGTGGAGGAGATGTGCAAGCAGTGTGAGACTTGTGCGGCGGAGGCGGACGCTCCCCACCGGGCTCCAATACAGCCGTGGCCTTACCACACGCGTCCCTGGACGAGGCTACACGTTGATTTTCTAGGTCCGTACAAAGGTTTAACGTTTTTCGTTTTAATTGATTCTTCTTCCAAGTGGATAGAAGTTTTTGAGATGAAAGGTACTAACGCATCTAAGGTTATAAAAGTATTAAGATCTACATTCGCCAGATTCGGCCTACCAGAAGAATTAGTTTCGGATCAAGGCCCACCATTTACCAGTACTGAATTTAAAAATTTTCTTAAGAATAATGGTATAAAACAGTATTTTTCACCGGCTTACCACCCATCCTCAAACGGGGCAGCAGAGAACGCAGTAAAGTTATGTAAACGAGCTATCAAGAAGGCTTTTAGAGACCAGACAGATATTGATACGGCTTTACAAACTTTTCTTTTAGCTTATCGCAATACAGTGCACGGTACCACCGGGGAAACCCCAGCCATGCTTTTACAGAGACGGACGTTACGGTCGAGACTAGATCTGTTGCGTAGTGATCGTGTCATTGAAAACAGAGTACGAGAAGCACAGGCGCGTCAAGTAGAATACGCGGGTGGAACTCCTCGTAAATTTACAGAGGGGGACTCAATTTGGGCACGGGAGTACGGCTCTGGTGATAAATGGGTGAAAGGCACTGTACGCGGGGTGGACAGTTTACGTAGGTATTCAGTAGTGGCGGATAGCGGTCAAACTTACAAAAGACACATTGATCAAATGCGTCGTAGATCCCGATTTTCCGATGTTACCTGTCCGGGAGGAGATGATGAGAGTCAGCGGGGTGAAGGGAATGTTGTCGAGCCTTTAAGCAAGGGTTCAGAGGAAGTAACTCTGCCAGAAACAGAGACTGTAAATACTAACCAGGGCGAACAAGAAGGTGTTCCTTCTGAACACTCCTCACCTAAACTACCATCGCCATCTGTGCCACCGGTGAGTCGTTATTCCAGGCGGACACGGAAACCGGTAGATAGATTTAGAGTAGAATAAGTTAGTTCATAAGAATGCCTAGTTAAGTTAGCCTAAGAATACTTAGTTAAGTTATCAACTCTTGTAAATTAGTTAATAAGAGATTTAATTCTAGATTAGCGGTGGAGGTGTGATGTCGGTCAATTGGGGGTACTTTGATAACATTAATTATTGTATGTGTGCGGCAGCCAGTCTGCGAATATACGCCTTGTAGCTAAGTCGTTGTTTGATTACGATTCCGATATTTCTCAGTGGCGACGATCAGTATCGAATCACACGCGAAAAATAGTGTTAGCTTGCTAAAATGTCGATCGGAAAGATTGCGGAATTCAAAGTGCATAATGACGATTGGAGATTATACGTGGAACGCTTAGAACAATATTTCTTAGTGAACAAAATACCGGATAACTTACAAGTACCGACATTGATAACGGTGATGGGAGCTGAATCCTACGAACTTTTAGTTAATTTGTGTACGCCGGAGAAGCCTAAAAGCAAAACATTCACGCAGATCACGGAAATTATGGAAAAACACCTACAACCCAAACCTAGTGAATTGGCCGAACGTTATAAATTTCGACACAGAAAACAAAAAGAGGGTGAATCTATATCGGAATACACCGCGGTTTTGAAAAAAATGTCTAAGACCTGCGAATTCGGTTCCTCACTCGAAGAAAGTTTAAGAGATCAGTTAGTTTGTGGCATAACTAATGAAAATATACGACAGCGGTTATTTGCCGAAAGTAAGCTGGACTTCGGCAAGGCGTATAAGTTAGCAGTTAGTATGGAGGCGGCAGAGAAAGACGCGGCAGAGGTGGTTGGACATGGAGGGTCGGCCAGCGAGACGGCGGCGGCAGCATCAGTGACGTGTCAAGCGATGTTGACAACGGGGGCATCACGGCGGAGTGGCGCAGCGCCGGCTACACGCGGTGCGCGTGACGTCAGCGGAGTGGCGCGGGAGGCCGCTGCGCAGACTGCGAGGCGGCGAGCGCCGCGCGCATCGGCAGCGCCCGCGCCCGCTCGGCTGGGTGAGCGTGCGCAGCAGCAGTGTCACGTGTGCGGTGCGAGTCACGACGCAGCCACGTGCAAGTTTGTGCGTTACGTGTGTAGGGTGTGTAATCGACCAGGACATCTGCGACGCGTGTGCCCGAATTTAACAGGACACTTCAACGTA